CTAGGGAAAGATCGCTAGCAAAGGAAGGCACTTCGCGAGAGAGATCATGCGGGCGCAGCAGCTTCAGAGTACAGATCAAGTCGAGGTCAAGCATGAGCACAGGCCGCTTCTCGAGGAAGGAGATGGAAGCGCTGTGCGGAGGAGGTAACACATCGATCACGAGAGTCAAGCGAGCCATGTTGGAGTTAGCAAGAAGAATGAACCTCAAGCTGGTCAGCGTCGAGGCCGAGGAGGATCGTGACACGCTCAGCTGGGATGGGAGCCTGATAGCTCTCTCCCTGGCGACCAAGGCAGAGGCTCGACGCTTGATGGAAGACATGCCCTTCTACTTGGAAGGGATCCTGGAAGTCAAGCTGGAAGCGGTGGGGTTCAAACCCACTGTCAGCTCTCAGGAGGAAGAAGAGAGCGAGGAGCAAGCCCAAGAGCCCCAAGGGCAGCAGCAAGGCGCTGGATGGCTGGAGCTCAGCGACATCGACAGGATTACTATGGAAGCAGCGTCGCCGTCAGGGCCAGTCGATCAACAGGTCTTGCTCGACCTCTCGACGATGCTCTTGGAGACATCAGAGGAGGAGCTGCTAGCTGGCAAGCCGATCTCGCTGGAGCTAGACAAGAGTGTTGGCAAGCTGCATGACACCTTCTGCTCGCCGGGCAACGTGGAGTTCATGACGCTCGGAGCTTGGGCAGCCACGCCGACGCTGGGATCGAAGCGAAACATGTTGAAAGAAAAGCTCAGAGCGTACCTCGGCGAGCAGCGCTGGACACGGGTGCAAGGGAACAAGGCAGCGAGGAGGGGCAGCGCCTTCTCTCCAAGGGCAGCAGCGACTGATGCGCTCGAGCAGGAGGCTGAGAGCGATGACATCGAGAGTCGATCTGTAAGCCTCTTGTTTCTTGCGATCAGTAAATTTGCTGAGCACCATGGGTTGAGCTGCACGGGCAAGGTCGACAAGCAAGACCGACTGCGGCTGATGATGAGGGAGGAAGTCGACATGGAGGCGGAGGAGGGCGAGGGCGTGGAGGAGGAGGCCGGTGCAGGCCCCTCGCGCGCTTGAGGCTCGAGTCAAGTCTTAGAGGTGGACAAGAGGCGGAGCGGAGCTGTGGGCCCCATGGGGGGAAGGAGGAAGAAATAAATGAGGTGGACATGGGGCAAGCAACGAAGGTAAGGGCAGGTAAGCCGGTGGGGGAGGGGGGAGGGGGGCCGGGAGGAGGAGGCCGGGCGGAGGCCGGCCGGGCTCTAGGGCCCGGTCCGGACCGAGGCCCGGGGGAAGGGACGTGAGTCCCAGGGACCCATACGCATTCCACCTACCACCTTATCTCCTGATTGTCCTTATCCCTCATTCACCTTATCTCCTGATTGTCCTTATCCCTCATTCACTCACTGGCCGAAGGCCGGCCGAGACCGCCAAGGTGTGTCGGAGCCGAGGAAGCAACACAAGTTGAAAGCACGGACGACCCAGGCCAAGGCCGGCGGAGGAAACTCACTGAAGTATATCAGAGGAGGGAGCAGAGCAGAAGCACGGCTGCCATAAGGGCCAGCCAAGTCGGGCCGAACTGCCAGGTCACGAGATCCCTGTTAGACTAGAATAGAGCAAGGTGATAACAAGCCATGCAACCTACCTAGCATTCTAATAAACTCAACTACTACTACTACTACTACTAGGGTTTAGGGTTTAGGGTTTAGGGTTTAGAAGGGGCAAGCAGCACATGCTATGGACGGCAAGAAGGAGAATAGAGTAGACCTGGTCCGCTGGGGGCAGGCACGGCTCAGGGGCAAGCCTCCTATGGAGCACAAGCAGGGAAGGAAAACAAGCCTAGCATCAAGGAGGCAGGCACAGCTAAAGGTCATGGAGGGAAGAGGTGGGCAACTGGGGGGGGAAGGGGCAGGAGGGAGGGGAGGCATGGCGCAACGACACTTTGCGAAATTAGGGAAGAAAACCGGGATCGGACCTGAGACGGGCCCGGAGGACATCGTCACTGAAAATATCTAATACGGAAGCACCCAGGCCCAAGGGGCCTATAGGACAATGGGCCAACCTCCCAAGGTTGGGAACCCCTTTAGACAGATCATTAGGCGAGAGATGAGCAAAGAGCAATAGTTCTTAGCTATGAAATTCTCGACTAAGAGTCTAATAAACTCAAATAATAATAATAATAATAATAGGGTTTAGGGTTTAGGGTTTAGGGTTTAGGGTTTAGGGTTTAGGAGCGCCGGTTATTTCAGGCACAGCGCCGGTTATTTCAGGCACCATGGCTGCACGCGTGGTGTAGGGGAAGCCGCCAGGGCGCCAAGGAAGCTGCAAGCGAGAGGTTTGTATACTTCAAATAGCTTTCTAAGTATGGTTCTTCAGTATGATGAAAATGTTCGCAACCTGCTGTATCGGAGATCATGCCAATACACGCAGAGCGGACTTGTGGATGCCTCTGTCCTCGAAGCTGATCTCGTCTAGATGCATGTGCTGGCCTGCTCGCTGAAGGTGGACAAGAAGGACCGACTGCGGGTTGAGATGAGGGAAGATGGCGAAGAAGAGAAAGACATGGAGGAAGAGCAAGGCGAGGGCGAGGAAGAAGACGGGGCGAGCCCGTACCGAGCTTGAGCTGAGCTCAAGGTAAGTAGAGAAGGTGGAGGCGACCGAAGGCCAAGGTGAGGAGAGGCAACTCTCCTGACTGAAGCTGAGGAAGCTGAATGGAGGAGGAGTAGGTGGCGACCGAAGGCCAAGGTGAGGAGAGGCAACTCTCCTGACTGAGGCTGAGGAAGCTGAATGGAGGACGAGTAGGTGGCGACCGAAGGCCAAGGTGAGGAGAGGCAACTCTCTTGAGGCTGAGGAAGCTGAATGGAGGTAGAGTAGGTGGCGACCGAAGGCCAAGGTGAGGAGAGGCAACTCTCCTGACTGAGGCTTAGGAAGCCAAGAGAAGACAGCAGGGTTTTGGGTTTTGGGTTTAGGGTTTTGGGTTTTGGGTTTAGGGTTTTGGGTTTAGGGTTTAGGGTTTAGGGTCTAGGAGGGCTGGAGTAACAGACATGCTCTCCTCCCCTGCAGTTTGAGGGGATCCCTGCGAGCTAGGGTGCTGAACAGGATATTTTTCTGTGCAGAAACGGTTGTTTGATCATGTGGTATCTATCCAAAGAGGAAAGGAAACAGATTGCTCGTGTCCGAGTTTCCCAGTTCCTAAACAAGGACACGACACCTTCAGCACCTTCGCTAGGAGAGCTGATCCGAAGATTGGAACACTTCGTCAGGCAGTACCCTCAGAGCAGGACAGGCAGAGCCTTGCAGTCCAAGGAAGTCTCGATGAACGCCTTAGCCGAAGCCATTCGACAGACCTGCAAACATGCTGAAGTCAGGAGCCAGGAGGATGCCATCAAAGAATGGGGGGAAGAAGGACAGTCGTGGTATGTCTCTGCATGGAACGCAGACAAACAGGAGGTACTAGACAAGAGTGCCTGCATCGATGCTTCAGGAGCGTCCCCCGAGAGTGGTAAACTGATTACCATGGCTATCCTCGGAGTTCCTACCCAGTACATAAAACAAGTTGAGGTACTGTGTGAGAAGTTGAAGGATCAAGGACTCTTGGTGCACGAGGAGCAGGGCAAGAAATGCATCTCGTGGAGAGCCCCGATCAAGAAAGATTTGATTCCGACAGTGGATGAAATCCCAGTCGTGGCAACACTCCAATTGAACGACGCAGCAGAACTGCTGTGGAAAGGACAGACGAACTTCAGGATCGACGGAAAGATGATCCGCGCGGTGAACGCGCATTCGAAGCATCCTTGCTCCTTCAAGATAAGGCCACAGAAGGATAAGCACTCTGGCAAGGCGGGGGCCCTAGCTGAGTTCTCTCACCTCCTCAAGATGAATGGCATGAACTCAGCTGGGATTACGGAGATCTATCGTCAACACCTGCTGCAACAAGGAATAGCTGTGTTGGAGGTGCAGCCGGAAGCGGGCATGCAGCTAGAGGTCAAGACGAAGAGGAGACCTCAAGGTCAGCCCAACAAACGCACTTTCGCAGCAGCCGGAGTGGACGAGATACGACAAGGAAGAGAGATCGATTGGATTGCGAGATGCTCTTCGACGGACGTCCTGAGCACCACGCTACGGATGTTTGAGGGAGATGACAGGAATGGAGGAAGCATACACCTCGGACTGATGTCGGAAGATGAAAAGATCCTCAAATGGTTCACTACTCAGGTTAGTGCAATCACCAGGGTAACGAGACAGCATCCAATTAGGTTGGACTTCTTGCCCGACGCGCTAGGAGCAGTACCACGAAGAGTGACCTATGAGGTGCTGGTCAAGAGTAAAGCACAGAAGGGAAGGTTCACAAGAGAGGAAGCTGAACAGATCTGCGACGGGGAGGATCTCTCTATGGGCATGACAATTCGAGGACTGAGACGGATCGTGGCGAGCTGGAAGGAGTCAGCGGCTGAGCACATCGTCAAGATCTCCTCGAAGGAAGATGTCGAGACCAACAGCTGGAACGGTGAACATCTAGTGCTCAGCTTCTCAGAAAAAGAAACGGCGATCGACATACTCAGGTCCTTTGCGCCATGGGACAGGGCGGGGAAACTTCTTCTCCTAGAGCCAGGCAGTGCCAACCTTTGGGAAGCGATCGCTACAGAACCCCCCACAGAGCCTCTTTGGGCTCAGGTAGATCTCGAACGGATCGAGAATGAGATCAACATCCCAGAACCAGAGGCAAACGTGGTCCTCGAAGACATCTACAAAGTTCTGGAGGAGACTGTCAATCAGGGACAGAGTGCAGAAAACCAAGCTTGCAAACTCAGGCTCGATGGAGCCATAGTCGGCCTGTACGACAGCTTGTCATCTCCTGGAAATGCATGTTTTCCGACGCTGAAGGAATGGGCGGAATCATCCTCGGCAACCCAGGACGACGACATGCAAGTTTTGAAGAGTAAGATTGCAAGAGTAAGCGAGCAGCATGCGTGGGAGACGGTAGCATCAAGAAGACGCCAGGGAGCCTTTGCAAAAGCAACAGGGAGAGGAGGGGAGAAACAACAAAAAGAATTTCGAACTGACTTGTTGTTTCTTGCCCTGAATAAATTAGTTCTCACAGCCACGCTAACCTACCAAGGCAGCGTAGGCTCGGGAGACGAAATTGAGTTTCTCTTGAGCAAGGCAGAGGAGGAGATGGGACTGGAGATGGAAGAGGAGAGTGGCAACCAAGAGGGAGAGGTTGCCTCTCAACTCTAAAACCGAATCATGACAGGAGGAGGAAGGGAGGAGGAAGGGGGGAGTGCCGGGAGTAGGCAAGGGGGGGAGAGGGAAACGGTTTCAAAGGAAACGCAACATGTAGATAGAACATTATATTTTTTTGATTGGATCGAGGAGATCCCATGGTCAGACAAACGAGGCGACAAGGAATTTGGCATCACTGCCCTGAACAATCGAGGAGTAAGCGGATTTTTATGCGAGAACATGATCGAAGTTACTCTCAATGAGATGAGCAAGGCTCTTCAAGGAGGACGAGCAATACACATGGTACGCAAAGGGAGAGCCCACGAGGACCAGCAAACGCGGAACATCATCTTCTTGCCAAGGGTAATATCCAGTCTGCGAGACGAGGCGTCCCGCTTGAGAGTCGGGAACAGATTTCACCTCAGCAGCTTGAGAGATGAGCAACACACCTTCCTGTTTCCAACTATCATCCACAGCAACCACTGGATTCTAATTGCATTAAGATATGATCGGCGATGCGCGTACATCTTGGACCCTCTCTGCGAGGACAGAACGAGCACAACGAGGGACCCACGAGGGATCGAGGGAGCGAGGAATCTTGCAACAACGGGGGAGCACGGAGCAAGAGAAATGGCTGAGCTGACAATCGGAGTGATCGAACACATCTTTGACGATCAGACCAATGCCCCATGGCAGATACAGTGGTGCTCAGCCTTCCAACAGGAAGATAACTTCAACTGCGGAGTGTTCGCTATCCTTCACACCCTACTGCTCTGCGAGACAAATCAAGACTGGCTAGCAACGATGGAAACGAGGACAAGACTAAGACTTCCGCAAGAATGGCTGATGCAAACCAGAACACAACTGATCGAAGCTCTCACCCATCTGGAGAAGATGGAGGAAACGGCCCAGGTAATTCTGCGATCCCTGCCGAAGGAGGCGAGGGTGCAAGAGAGCTTGAAATCGACGACAAAGCCGGAGGAGGAGGTACAGCCGAACGCAATCCAGCGGCTGATGACCTCGACGACAAAGCTTGAGGAGGAGGTACAGCCAAACGCAATCCAGCGGCTGATGACCTCGACGACAAAGCTTGAGGAGGAGGTACAGCCAAACGCAATCCAGCGGCCGATGACCTCGACGGCAAAGCCTGAGGAGAAGGTACAGCCGATCGCAATCCAGCGGCAGGCGACCACCACGAAGCCCCAACCAAGACTTTTTGGTGAGGAAATGGAGGAGAATGCACACTCAGGAGAGAAAACCTCCCAGATAGGGAAGGAGCGGAGGGGGAAAAGGCAGGAGGAGCAAAGGGGCGATGATTGGGCACAGATGCATCGAAAAAGCTCAGACCCAGGTTTCCTCATCTCACAAAATGTGAATGGTTGCAATCACTTTGTTCTCAAGCACATCCTCGCATACTTAATCCAGTCCTTCCAACCTGGGGTTGTGCTACTACAAGAGGTAAGGGTCTCGGCCCGCGACGAGAACAAATTAAGGAAGATGATCAAGGAGAACTGGGCCTGCTACAGAATCTTCCTGGGGCCTGCGAAGATCAATGCCAAGAAGGGGAAAGGAGACCTGAGGTTGGTAACGCTGGTCCACGCTTCCCTCTCGCCTTCCCCTTCCCATGCCGCTCAGGCGTGCAACAAAGAAAAGAAATATCGAAACCGAGTGTTTTCGATCAAAGTCGGAACAGGGAAAAATTCTTTCGTAGTCACGAACCTCCATCAGGTACCGGCGGAAAATGCGATTCGAGAGCAAGGGGAACTGTGGGCAGAGCTGCTACACCTCGCTCTGGGAACGAGAGAGACACACATCATAGCCGGAGACTTTAATGCAGCAAGAACCAACACAACAACACCAATGCGGAGAGGATATTCCCCCTCATCTATCACCGCAAAAGCAGATGAGAGATTCGAGAAATTCCTGGCAGACCTTTCCGCACACCGTACACTCTCATATGAACAGATCAGCGAGACTGGGACAACATTTACCTTCTCAACATGGTACAAACAAGAATTGATAGAAGCCAAACTCGACGCAGTCCTCGCTATCCACCCCCCAACTAATGAGGACAACTTCCCCAACATCTCCCTTCAATCGTGGACGGTCGACGGCTGTGTGATAGGGGGAGCAGTTGATCACAGAGCCCTGGTGGTGCAAGTGCACACCAAGTTCACATCCGAGGAGACGCAGCTAATCCCACGAGTGGAAGTGCATCAGATGAATTCACGACAGAAGAGGGGGGAAACCCCTAAAAGCAGATGGGTGCTGGATCGCGATACGTGGGAGGAGAAGAAGATCGAATGGGCGCAACAACTAGATGCAAACATACGAGACATGCGAGCTAAGGCGCAAGAATGTAACATTTGTGAGATGCTCGCCAACTCTCTACCACTAAAGGAGGTAAAAATCAGAAAGGGAGGGAGGCGACACGCGAACAAAGAACAAATGGATTTGAAGAGATCGATCCGCAACTTGCGGACTAAACTTAGGGAAGCATCACAGAAAAGACCAGCGACTGGAGTACCTACGGAAGCTACATTACAACGAGAATTGCGAACTAAGATCGAGAGGTTCAGAACGATATGTGAAGAACAAAACAACGAAGTTTTCCAAGAGATCTGCCAACAGCAGCAAACACGGCTTGGCACGGTAGGCAGCCGTGAATCCCAGAATGCAATGGGACGCAAGAATGATTTCACTCCCAAAGAACCGATGATAAGTCAAGACATCAAGAAAAAACACCCTAACTCCCTTCGTTGCCACAAAGGCTTGGCTCTTAGACTGCTCGGCAAGATAGTCGACAATGCCGACGAGCTCATCAACCAACTCGAAGCAACCCTATCTAGCGAAGACACGAGGGGTGTTAGAGCATTTTGGAGTGCAAACCAGCAACTGATGATTGGGATCGAGCGAGAGGGGACAGATGACTGGCTCTTTCTATCACTGCTACCTGCAAACACAATCACGAAAGCAATTGTAGCACTGGAAGAATCGGATAAAACAACATGGGAGATAGCAGGATACCGTGATCTCACGGATCATCTCCCAATGCAGAAGGTTAGAGAGCTTGAGGACGCGGACCATACACGATTCTTCTTCAGCGTCAACGCATGCACGAAACAAGGGACCTGCTCAAAATGCTCAAACATCGGATGTATGCTCCCCTTGGCTGACTCAAGCGACGAGACCATCGGAGGGGGAGGGATGACCCCGTACTGCACAAAATGTAAGTCGTTCACAACCGTGGCCCCAAGACGGATCACACCGCCTGAGGGGGTGCAGCTTTCAAGGAGACAACAACAGGAAATCACCAGACCCCTGGCACCGGGAGAGATTGATGTCTGGCTCGCCTCGGCGCCGAGACGAAAGGCTGCAGGACTTGACCTCATTTCGAACGAAGTGCTGCGAGCGCTGCCACCAGCATGCCGAGAGGAAGTTGGCAAGTTAGTCAATGCAGCCCTAGAAGGCAAAGCTGAGGTTCTCAACAAGACAGCGAGAGTACGCCTCCTGCCAAAAAATCAATTCTGTCACATTCTCGAAAACATGCGGCCTATATGCGTCATGTCAACGCTTACTCGGCTGGTTCAGGCAATCCTGGCGCATCGTCTGAGTAAGACAGTAGAAGCAAACAACGTCCTCACAAACTTCCAGGAGGGGTTCCGTCCAGGCAGAAGCACAAGTCGGCAGGCTCATCGACTGATCTCGATCGTAGAAGAAGCAGAAGAGGCCAAAACGTCCCTAATTCTCTTGTACCTGGACTTTGCGAACTTCTTTAACAATGTGGCAATCGAGGTGGTCGAGCAGGCAATGAACAGCCTAGGCTTCCATCCTGAGGACATTAGAACTGTGATAGCCTGCAACAGTGGAGTCGAACTGCAAATACAAACAAACGAGTTCAACACAGGGAAAATACCTCTAATGATCGGGCTGCCTCAAGGTGGAGCAAGTAGCCCACAACTGGCCAACTTGGTGCTATGCATCCTCTCTAGGCAATTGGACAAGTGCAGCACAGGAACAACAAACAACCTGTCCTTCGCCGATGACATGGTACTCATCGCACACACGATGAAAGAAATGCGAGAATTGGTAGCAGTGGTGGATTCCTTCTGCAAATGGTCAGGACTGCAAATCAACAATAAGAAATCAGAGATAACCAGCTTCGACTATGCTCGCAAGGGAGAGGTTCCTGGTGCGAACAAAATAACGGTCATGGGGGAACCTGTCGAAGCCCTACCGGCTACTAAACCGTTCAAATATCTCGGCTATCGCATCTCTCTGTGGAAGGAAGAAAGACGAAGAATAAAGGGCTGCCCTTTCACTTGGGGAGAACGAGCATACGTCTTTGAAAAAACCAAAGAACTGATCAACAATATCAGCTCGTCGAGTTATACTCCTGCGCAAAAATTTTACCTGGTGAAAGTTGGAATTCTCAACGTCTTTCGCTACTCCGCAGTCATGACTGGATGGACTTGGCGAGACCTACAAGAATTAGATCAACTGTGGATACGAGCTTTTAAAAAAGCGTTAGGCCTAAGCAAAAGTACAGGGAATGGTATATTCTACCTGCCAACAGAGAATGGAGGGCTGCAGGTCCCTCATCCTGCCCCAATCCTAGGGCGAGCAGCGCTACGATACATCGAACGAGAAGTGAATAGTAAGCATGGTGGAGACATCCAAGATAGACTGATATCTAAACTCAGAAACTGGTTTGCGGAATGGGGATGCCAAACAATCCTCGAGCTCCAAAGAGAAATGAATTTTCGAACTATGGAGCGTGATGTGGTGCGGGGACCCGAAGCTTTAGCAGTCTGGCTGGCGGAAAAACTAAACACGAGGATCAGCTGGGCCCACATAGAAGCAGGTCACCTACCTGGAAGCATCTCCCTCCTTCATAGGATGGAGGATATGGTGGCAAACTTGAACGACAGCGACAGACCACAAGGCTGGACGACCTTCCAAGCCTTATGGAGGCAACTCCCGAAACTCCAATTCTCCTTGCTACGCAATATACGACCTATCGCTGACGAAGAACTGCATTTGCCAAGGAAGCTCTGGCCTTTCCCAAGGCAACGCGAGGAGGCGGAGGGGATCGTAATGCAACTGCTACAAGAAAATGTCATCTGGGTAAGCAGCGTCAACAGAGCATCAGGAACAAAGAGGAAAAGACGAGAGGTTGCCTCGCAGGATAGTGCTACAACCCGAAAACGAAAGTCACACCCGCAATCAGAGGAGGACCGGGAGGAGACATCCAAAAAGCATCGGGAAGCAGCAGAAGAGAGAAGGCCACACCCAGCTCATGCAAACACAAGATCCCTCATGGCTAAACTACTAGGCAATCTGGATCAACAGGAACACCTAATCCTAAAAGGTAAGGAAAGTTTCAAAATCAAGGGCGACATAGCAATCATGGACCGGCCCAGAAGTCACACGGGCCAAGAACAAGACATCAAAGAAGCTGAACCTTCCCTTCGCTCGGCGCCATTTGCGAGGAAAGAAGATGACGATGGAGCCAAGAACCCAGAGAAGACAGAGATCCTACTGCAAATTGCTAAGTATATCAGCAAAACACATAACAGCTCACTCAACTCGCAAGCTTGGTGGGAACATCTAACCACCGCCATGGCTGAAATTCGAGATAGACAACAAGGCCTTCCGCTGTCGTACGAATTTCTAGAACACTTGGGGATGCTCGCTGAAACAAAACAGTTCAGCAACTGGCCCACCCTCTATCACCCGACAATCCAGGCCGCAACCGATAGCTTGCAGGAAGACGAGGTTCGACGTGAAATAATATGGATCGACCAACAGGAACAATACCTCAGCTACGCCGCATGCGAGTCTGGAACAATCTTGATCGGATGGAACCAAACTTGCTTCAGGAAAGAAATCCCTGACGGCTTCATGCTAGTCGGTAAGGTACCTAAAGGATCAGAAATATGCTACGCTGCAAATTTCTGGAGGACGGGCGATCGGAGCCTCAGGAAGTCACAAGACGACCTGATTGTCTACTGCAAGGAGTCGGAACAAGAGAGAATAATTGTCCAACTCACAGTACACCTGATCCCTGAACAGGAGGAGCTACAAGAATACCGAAGGAAGCAAAACGAAAACTATCAAGCCTCGGCCAAACAGGAGAAGAACAGGAACCAAGTGTGGTCCGCAATCCACGGCGACATATCACGAAACAGGAAGGGTCGATCAATGTCGATAGGATACAGCACGCAAGACAAGGAAGGAGAGCAGGAACGCGGAGCGATCAAGATACACGGAAAATGCAGCGTCATCAGAGCACATACCATCGCACTCTGCATACTCCTACAAGCGATTTGGGAACAAAGAGGCAAACAGAAAACAATCAGGAAAATCTTCGTCCTCTTTAAATCAACCCGAATGCATCGCTTTCTTACGGACACCCTCAGATGGTCTACCATGCAGTATGAAGACGAGCTCGTACACGACTTGGCAGGAAGACTGCAGGAATGCCTGAGCAAATTTCAGCGGGAGGGCATTGAGATCAACCTCTCTATGATCACAGACCACACCGTAGTGCAAGAAGCTGCAGAAGAAGCCCGCAAGGGAAAATCCTCCTTCTCCTCCACGTGGGAACGGGCCCTCATCGACAGCGACTTGGGATTCTGCATTGCAGACGAAGAGAACTTCAAGCCGGGGATGGATCGATTGAAAATATGGGATAAGATAATCAGAGAAGAACAACTGGAACTGAGGAGGAAAGAAGCCCCCCTCACCTTGACGGAAACCTTTCTCCTGGAACCACAAGTGGGCAGAAGGATCCTAGGTCGAGCCTTACAGAGGTGTCGCGGATCAGTACTTCGGACAGCTATCCAAGCCATTACCTGGTCAGCACCAACGAGGAAAAAGCTGTTCCAGTGGAAGAAGACGACATCCCCCTGTTGCCCATGGTGCGAAGGCAGGGAAGAAAGCTGGGTGCATGTTCAGCTAGCCTGCAAAGAATTTGAGCTCATGATCGCGTTGGCACACAACAGAGTAATGGAGACAATCAAGGGATGCCTGAAAGAAAGCTGGAAGAAGAAAAGTGTTGAACAGGAGAGTTGGTGGCAAACGCCAATCAACTCTATGACAGGGCTAGGACTGACTGCACCAGAGCACGGCAATCTCATACCAGATGGGCTCTGCTACTTCAGAGGGAGCAATCGCATTGTGCTGGTGGAGATAGCGAGAACTTCAGAGTTCACGGGCGAGGGAAGCAGTCTGGCAAACCTGAAAGCAAAGTTTCAGGAGAAAGAACAGAAATATGCAGCACTGCGGGCAGAGATGACAAGCAGGAGCGACAACACAGAGGTCTTACAAGCCACGTTCATTGCAGGAGTGAGAGGCAGTATTATGGAGCGGGAATGGACCACAAATTTCCGGAACTTGCTCATGGACGAGGATATGATTGACAGAGCCATGACCAAGATAGTCATCCAGCTGCTCGAAGTGCAACACATGCTGTGGACCTCAAGGAGACGAGGAGACACGACTAACAGAGAACAAGCATGAAGGATATAAGATGGTTGGAAGATGACTGGGTAAAGATCAACGAGGAAGGATCAAAAGGGAAGCCTCAAAAGCAAGCAACCAGGATCAGCATGGCAGGGAAGGGGCAAGGACACAGAAGACAGATGGGAGACGAAAGGGCAACGGTCAACGGACAGACCGAAGGTGAAGCCTCACAGGCGAAAAACAACCAACATGGCAAGGAAGGGGCTAGGACACAGGAGACAGATGGATGACGACAGGGGAAAGGGCAACGAGGACAGACCGATGGGGAAGCTTCACAAGCGGCAGGCAGGGAAGGGACATGGACTTAGCGCAAAAAATAGAAAGGTGGACGGTTACACTGAAACCGTCAACCCGGGCCCGGAGGAGATACGGCACCGGCGGCTCGGAACGGAGGACTATGGAAACAACAGAAACAGCGGAACAGCGATAGAACTCTGGATGCCACAACGGGCCATCCAAGAAGGGCCGCTCTGCCAAGCGTGAGAACCCATTTAGACTAGACTAGACCGGGAAGGTACCCGATGCGACTATTCTAGCATTCTAATAAAAATCGACTACTACTACTAGGGTTAGGGTTTAGGGTTAGGAGGCGCCGTTATTTTCGGCAGAGGCGCCGTTATTTTCGGCAGAGGCGCCGTTATTTTCGGCAGCATGGCTCCTCGTCAGGTGTAGGGGAAGCCGCCAGGGCGCCAAGGAAGCTGCAAGCAAGAGGTTTGTATACTTCAAATAGCTTTCTAAGTATGGTTCTTCAGTATGATGAAAATGTTCGCAACCTGCTGTATCGGAGATCATGCCAATACACGCAGAGCGGACTTGTGGATGCCTCTGTCCTCGAAGCTGATCTCGTCGAGAGGGTGAAGAGCTTCGCGAAGCGTTATCCGAACAGCAGGACAGCCCAGGCTTGCAAGGCTGTGGAGGGATGCACCCCCGACGCTATCGCAGAAGCCATCCGCTCGACATGTCAGCAGGCACGACGTGAGCTTCTACAAGAAGCGATGGCTGGATGGAGTGACGCATCCAGAGAGTGGTTTATGCAGCAGATTGAAGAAGCCAAGAAGGAGAAGGTCGAGACATACACCGCCTCAGCAGGCAACGAGGTGACTTCCTTCATCTCCATGACTCTCCTGGGCATCTCCTCGGTGTATGTCAACCATGAAGAAAAGCTGAAGAAGAAATTTGAAGAGAGCGGACTGATCGTAGACTCAGTGCAAGAGAGTAAAGCAATCATGTGGAAGGCTCCGTATAGACCCGAGATAGCGAGTGCTGAGGAGATCCCGGTGACTGTTTCCTTCCTCCGCAATGCACAAGCGGAGAAGCTCTGGCAGGGAAGAGAGGACTTCGCGATCGATGGTCGCAAGTTCACAGCTGTACATGTGAGCATCGTGCACGATCGATCTTTCAAGATTCGAGCCAAGAGAGGACCCTGGGGCAAAGGGGGCAGCTTGGCAGAGCTGACTCACCTGCTAACCTTGGGCGGCATGACAACGGCTGAGATAGCTGCCGTCTATCGCTATCAGCTGCTGCGCCAGTCCCTTGCAGCGGTCCAACTCCAGCCGCTGGCAGGCATGCTGGTCGCTGGGGCGCCAGGACAGCAAGTCCACAAAGGCTTAGGTCAGAAAGGCTTCATCGCTGTAGGGGCCAACGTCATCTGGAGACAGAGGGAGGTGGAGTGGATCGTCTCCTCGAGCTGCCCAGAGGCGAATGATACAGCATTTCGAGCTTTCCGAGAGAGCGAAGCGATGGAGGGAGTACACCTGACTCTGTTCAGCGAGGACCCGAAGATCAGAGAGGCGCTCGCAGTCGAGTTGACAGCCGATCGCTTTGTGTCCAGAAATAAGTTGAAGAAGGCATCAAGGATGCAGAAGAAGGCAGGCGGCAAGGACGGCAAGGAGATCAAGATCATCATCAAGTCGACGGCGGCATCTGGTCGCTTCACGAGGAAGGAGATGGAGGGGCTGTGCAACGGCGGCAACACGTCTATCGCAAGAGTCAAGAGAGTCTTGTTGGAGATCGCTAACAGGCTCGAGATCAACGTTGAAGGCATCGACATGGAGGAGGATTTGAACACCAAGTCCTGGAACGGGTCCAAGCTATGCATCCTCCTCGGCTCCACGGAGGATGCTCGACGCATGATGAAGGAGCTGCCCTTCTATCTCGAAGGCGCAGCCACCAAGCTCGAAGCAGTCGGCTTCGACAAGGAGCCTGACTCTGAGGCGGCTGGTCAGCGGGGCACCAGCGACGCAGCGCAGCGACAGGAGGAGAGC